CCGCACGGTTCGTCTCCAGCTCCGCCGCCGTTTCCGGACGGATCTTCCTGTCCTGCGTCTGCACTCTGACAGAGGTGGTGAGTTTTCCTCCGACCTCTTGAGGACCTTCTGTCAGGCGGAGGGCATCGAGCAGACCTTCACGCTTCCGGACTCCCCACAGCAGAATGGGGTTGCTGAGCGTCGCATTGGCCTGGTCATGGAGGTCGCTCGTACCTCCTTGGTCCACGCGGCGGCTCCCCATTTTCTGTGGCCGTTTGCTGTCCGGTACGCCGCGCATCAGCTCAACCTCTGGCCCCGTGTCTCCTTGCCGGAGACCTCGCCCACACTGCGTTGGACGGGGGAGGTTGGCGATGCGTCGCGCTTCCGGGTGTGGGGTGCTCGTGCCCTTGTCCGCGATACGTCTGCGGACAAGCTCTCCTCCCGCACGCTTCCCTGTGTCTTCCTTGGCTTTGTCCCTGACGCGCCGGGCTGGCAGTTTTACCACCCCACCTCGCGCCGGGTCTTCGCCTCTCAGGATGTCACCTTTGACGAGTCGGTCCCCTTTTACCGTCTCTTCCCCTACCGCACTGCCCCCCTCCCTCCCCCGCCGCTTTTCCTTGCTCCTGGTCCCCCTCCGGTAGACCCCCTTCCCCCTCAGGGTCCTGCTCCTTCAGGTGTCTCTCAGGTAGACCCTCCTCCCGTCGCTGAGCCTGTCGAGGTCACAGGTGACTCAGGTGCTGCTGCGGGTGGTGCTGCTGGGAGTGCTGAGCCTGGGGGTGCTGAGCCTGGGGGTGCTGGGGCTGCAGGTGCTGGGACTGAGGGTGCTGGAGCTGAGGGTACTGTGCCTGAGAGTTTGCCGCCTGGGGGTGCTGAGCCTGGGGGTGCTGCGACTGGGGGTGCTGAGCCTGCGGGTACTGAGCCTGCGGGTACTGAGCCTGGGGGTGCTGCTACTGAGCCTACGGAGCCTCGGGTTACTGTGTCTGGGGGTGCTCCGGTTCGGGGTGCTGAGCAGTCTCTCACACCGCAGCAGCTTCGTGACTGGTACGTCCGACGCTTTCGCCGTCCTAGTGGCTCGGCTGGAGTTGGGGGTACTGGAGCTGCTCGTCCTGGGGGTGCTCGTACTGGGGGTACTGGAGCTGCCGGGACTGGCTGTTCTGGGAGCGCTGCGACTGGAGCTGCTGGAGCTGGGGACTCTGGCGTTGGCGGTGCTAGCGGAGTTGGAGCTCCCGACTCTGGGGGTGGCGCTGCTGCTGGTGCTGCGGACCCACCTGGTGGAGCTGCTGCTGGTACTGAGGAGTCGGACGGTGGAGCTGCTGCTGGAGCTGGGGACCCGGCCGGTGGAGCTGCTGCTGGTGCTGTGGACCCGGACGCTGGAGCTCCTACTGGTGCTGAGGACCCGGCCGCTGGAGTCCCTTCTGCTTCTAGAGACGCTGCGCGGCCGCGACCGTACTTCGTACCGCTCCTTCAGCAGGTTCTTGGGCAGGCTCCTCCTCCTTGTCCTCCTCCCTCCGTAGAGTGTCCTCCGCCTGTCCAGCCGCAGTCACAGTTACCGCCTGCCTCGCCTCTCCCTGCTCCCTCTCCTTATACTGGTCCCACAGGAGGTCTTACAGAGCGTCGTGAGCCTGAGTCTCGTCCTGCGTCGCCTGTTCGTCCTGCTCGCACTGGTAGTCGTGTCCGTCGTGAGCGTCCTCCGCCTGTCCCAGGCACTCACTACATGACTCTGCGTCCCTCTACTGCTCCTCGGCGTGTCCCTCTACCGTCTCCTCCTGCGTCCTCTTTGCCTGCCATTCCGGACCCTGAGTCTGACCGGTATCGCGCTGAGCACCCTACAGTCACGCGTCTCCTTGCTACTGTTGTCACTGACCCCACCTTTGAGTCCTCGGCTGCGTCTGCTCTGGTCGCTGAGTTGGTTGACTTTGCTGCTGCCTGTCGTCTAGACTACGCTGCTAGCCTTGTCGCTGAGTCAGAGTCTGCGTCAGTCTGTCCTCCGTCCGTCGGGGGTGAGTGTGCTCTTGGCACGGACGTCCTTGAGGACAGGCAGGAGGACTTTGACTCACTTGCGGCTGCTGTACCTCATCTCGTGGCCTGGTTGCTTGCCCCTGAGGGAGACCCGGATGCAGTAGACATCCCCACTCCGCGCACCTACGCAGAGGCGATCTCGGGTCCCTACTCCTCTCAGTGGCAGACAGCCATGGACGCAGAGATGGCATCCTGGAAGTCCACAGGCACCTACGTCGACGAGGTTCCCCCTCCTGGGGCGAACATCGTCGATGGCATGTGGATTTTCAGGGTGAAGCGGCCGCCAGGTTCTCCGCCTGTCTTCAAGGCTCGTTACGTTGCTAGAGGCTTCAGTCAGCGTCAGGGGGTCGACTTCTTCCAGACCTTCTCCCCCACCCCGAAGATGACCACTCTTCGGGTTCTGCTGCACGTTGCTGCTCAGCGTGACTACGAGCTTCACTCTCTTGACTTCAGCACAGCGTTCCTGCAGGGCAGCCTGCACGAGGAGATCTGGCTGCGCCGCCCACCTGGCTTTACTGGGTCGTTTCCCCCTGGTACCCAGTGGAGTCTCCGCCGGCCAGTCTACGGTCTCCGCCAGGCGCCACGTGAGTGGCACGACACACTGAGGACTACTCTTGCGGCTCTTGGGTTCGCGCCGTCTACTGCTGACCCGTCGCTGTTTCTGCGCACAGACACGTCGTTGCCGCCGTTCTACATCCTCGTGTACGTCGACGACTTGGTCTTTGCTACTGCTGACACTGAGGCACTCGCTCGTGTGAAGTCGGAGCTGCAGAAGAGACACACCTGCACTGACCTGGGTGAACTGCGTAGCTACCTTGGCTTGCAGATCACCCGGGACAGAGCTCGCCGCACCATCACCCTGACTCAGTCACACATGGTGCAGCAGGTCCTTCAGCGCTTCGGCTTCCAGTTCTCCTCACCACAGGCCACACCTCTGGCTACCAGCCACTCGCTCTCAGCTCCACCTTCGGACGAGTCCGTAGAGCCGAGTGGCCCGTACCCAGAGCTTGTAGGCTGCCTCATGTACCTGATGACTTGCACGCGACCTGACCTCGCGTACCCTCTTAGCATCCTTGCTCGTTACGTTGCGCCTGGGAGACACAGGCGAGAGCACTGGGAGGCTGCTAAGAGGGTGCTGCGTTACCTGTGCAGTACATCAGGCATGGGGCTGGTGCTTGGAGGACGCGACAGAGTTGTCCTCACTGGTCACTCGGACGCCTCTTGGGTGGACGACCTGGCTACGCAGCGGTCGTCACAGGGTTACACCTTCAGCCTTGGCTCAGGTTCTGTCTCGTGGCGGTCCACCCGCTCTTCCTCTGTTCTCGGCTCTAGTTGTGAGGCTGAGATCTACGCCACAGCCATGGCTGCACAGGAGTTACGCTGGCTCACCTACCTGCTGACTGACTTGGGAGAGCGGCCTAGTTCTCCTCCAGTTCTGTACGGTGACAACAAGGCGGCTCTTGCCTTGTGTCAGGAGCACAGACTGGAGCACAGGACGAAGCACATTGCTCTTCGCTACTTTCTTGCTCGAGAGCTTCAGCAGCGCGGTCAGCTTCGGCTTGTGTACGTGGACTCGAAGGCCAACACTGCTGATATCTTCACCAAGGCGCTCCCGCCTAGTGATCATCAGCGGCACTGTACTTCTTTAGGCCTTGTGTCCACGTTTCCTCACTTGCTCACTGCTTGACATTCTTTGTACTGTACTTTATATATATCTTGTTACTTGCTTGCTAGGTTTTGATCACTGTGTTGCTTGTCTTGTACTATATCTAGCACTGCATGTGAACTGGCCTTGTGGCCTTTACTTGTGCTCGGAGTGTGGTGACGTTGTGATCCACCCTGGGCGTTGCTTTGCTTTGCTGGACTGGTCTTGTGACCCTTTGTTCTCCCCCACTTTGCCTATGGGGGTGTGTTAAACTGTAGTATGCTTGTAGGCTGTAGTGGGGTAGCCAATATGGGGTACAACCCCAACTAGGGTTTTATATTTGTACCCAAACTTCTGCTAGTTCATCATTCTTGCCTAGTGATTCTGAAACATTCCTTAGGGCGTGTCCAACTTTGCACATGTACAATTTTTTTTCGAGACAGTTACCACATTAAGGCATGTAACAGAACTTCTAACGTACATGCGTTTGACGCAATACTGTACATAACTGATGACAATTCGGAAACGTGCCCCGGAACGTGCGGCACACATCCGAATTTCGACCGGCAATGCATTTCAGACCTCGATTCGCGTCAAACAAGTCAAACAGTAACTCATATTTTTCGCCAGATGACTTTCGCCATTACATTCGCCCCTCCGCCACAGGCGCGAGAGTCGACCGCCAAACCACCTGTGATATCCGGTAACCCCGTCCATGGTACTGTACCATGCATCGATATTGTACCTTGTCAGTCGGCACAGGTAACTTGACAAGGAATGTTCGGGGTACATCTTTGGGTACAGTCAAATTTGACGATACCATTGACGTTAAAATTACGAAAAAAACGGAAGTGTGCAAAGTTGGACCCGCCCTTAGAGCTCTTATCCCGTTCTCTGTTTCCGTTGGCCGGAAGATTCCACACTAACCACAACACGGAGGCGCTAGTCCATGCATGTCCATCCATGTACGATTGTACACCACACATGCCGCGACATTTGAGATGTGCGATTTCGGCTCCAACGAACCGCACGGACGAACCTGGTTACAATGTAAAACTGTCGCTGCTGTCGCGCAACATGCTGTGCTAGTTGTGCTCAGTGGCGAAGTGTATCTACCCGCTATTTTTCGGACGCGAAACTTTCAAGCTACGCCTGGCGGTACCAATTTTGCTTGTGCACCACAATACGTCAAATTTTAGTGAAAACCCCAAAGTGTTCGCGCTGGACGCGCTCTAAGAAGGAACTCCTTACTAGCCCAAACCGCAACAAGCAGCATCGCTGCCAGAACCCGGACTGCACCACCTGTGCAGCACCCCAGCGCGCTCACTGCGCGTCCTGTCGCATCGACCGCACCAGCATGTCGCCCGCGGCGGCTCTCCGCTCCGCTGGCGCGTCACAGATCGCGGGGCTCCGGTCCGCGTGCTCCGCGCACGGCGCGAGTCGGAAAAAAGCGGCGCAGCGCGGCGAGACGAGCGAGGTGCGTGCTTGCAGCGACAATGCCGCAAGGCGACTGCGGATTTGGTTTCTCACTGCGCGGAGCCGCAACCAGACGCCGGGCATGCCCGTTGAACTTGCGCCGGGCGCATCGTCGCAAAGCATCGCGGCGATGGTGCGACGAGGCGCGCGCAGCTGCGCACGTTCGTCCTCCCCATCGCAGCGCTGCAGGGCCGCGCGTGCCGGGCAGATGCTTACCGCCACAGGCCAGCCAGGGCCGCATCTGCGAGCGCTGAGATGTCTACTTGGCTGGCGGCGCGCGCAATGCACTCCCACGCGTCCCCTTCCGCCTTCCCCCGTGCCCCTGTGCTCCCTCCGCCCCGCCCCTCGCTTACCCCGTGTGCGCACCAGCAGGCGTCACGAGAGTGCGTGGGAAGGCATGTCTTGCTGGTACTCCGGGGAAAGTCGGGGCGTGGAAGCTTGTGGAGTGGAGTGGAGTGGAGTGGAGTGGAGTGGAGTGGAGTGGAGTGCTTGCACCTGCCCGCCTGTGCGCCCCACTGCCTTGCGCTCCTTCCTCCCCCTCCCCTTGCTCCCCCTGTGACCGCCCCTCTCCGCGGTCCCTGTGCTCCCAGGGCCCAGCTGGAAGCTTCCACGAAGAAAGGCTCGGGTGTAGCTGGCGAGGGTCCACGTGGCAGCTGAGGAGTGGGCGAGCAGCAGCGGGCAGGGGGGATGGTGGTGGGAGAATGGGTGGTGTGGGGCAGGCGCGGGCAAGTGTGGATGAGGTGAGGGGTGTGAGGGGATGAGGGGGAGTGAGGGGGGCGAGAGGGTGGGGGGTTCGGCTTGGACGCTGCTGTGCTGCCATGGCTGCGTGTCCCTTTCACTGTTGTCAAATCGTTGCTTGTATGAAACCCAACAGCCCACACCTCCTCCCATTCATTGCCCCACTGCCCCCCTCTCGTCCCCCTGACCGTCCCTCCCCGCTTCTCCCCGTTCCTCACCGCCCCTCACCTCCCATCCCCCCACCTCCCTCCCCGCCCCTCACCTCCCATCCCCCCACCTCCCCGCTCCTCACCTCCCATTCCCCCATCTCACCGCCCCTCACCCCCGTGCGAGGCGGGCAGCTGGCGGGCGTGCTGGTGTTCTCAGCCGTGCCCTTCGTGGCCGTGAAGGCGCTCGCCAACAGCGGGCTGGGCGGGCAACTCAGTCAGCGCCTGCAGCAGCGCCTGCCCGAGCTCCGACGGGCGGCTGACAGGGTGGAGGCGCAACGGGAGGAGGCACGGGAGCAGAGGTGGGTCAGGGGCATCAGGAGTGGTGGGTCGCCCGTGGGGAGCACTGGGGGTCCGTGGGGGGCAGTGGGGGGCAGAGGGGGGCAAGTGGGGCTAGGGGGGCAAGGGGGGCAGGGGGGCAGTGTGATGGTGGCAAGCATGACAATGAAGCCACTCTCCTTCACACCTCTTCATCCCATCACCTCCCTTGACTCACATCACACCCTTCCTTCCTGCACACTATTTGCCCAACGACCTCCTCTCTCCCATCTTCCGTCTTCCTTTGCCCTCTTCCTCTCTCATCTTTTCCTCTTCTCTTCCCCCCAAATATTCCCCCCCCCCTCCCTCTGCACTCGGCCCGAGGTACGGCACATCTTGCCCGCGCTAGCTGGGTCGCGTGCCAGTCACCGGGGCCTGGCCTGCCCATCTTATCTGGCCGGCCAACTGCCGGGTGACTTTTGCCTTGCACCCCGCCCCCTTCCTCCCCTCTCCCGCACTCACCCCTCCCTCATCCCATGTTACACTCAGCCCTGCACGCCACCGCTGCCTGGCCGCCCTTCCAGTGGCCAGGGCATACCCGCCATATATGGGCGTACTCGCCATATCTGGCCATACCCGCCATATCTGGGCATACCCGCCATATCTGGGCATACCCGCCATATCTGGGCGTACCCGCCATATCTGGGCGTACCCGCCATATCTGGGCGTCCGCGTGCTGGGCCACTTTGCCACTTCCATCCCCCTTCACCCCCCGTCCCCCCCCTCTCCCAGCCCATGGTACGGTGCATCTAGACCGCGCTGGCTGGACCCGCTGCCCTATGCCTACCCGCCCTACCTGGACGGGCGTGTGGCGGGCGACTTTGCATTCGACCCCGCCGGCCTTGCCCGAGACCCCGCTGCCTTCCAGCGCTACTACAAGTGCGTGCGGAGGAAACATTGGGGGAGGGGGCGAGGTGGGGGATGGGTGGGATGGCGGCTACACGCGAGGCTCGAGTGGGTGAAGTGAAGTGAAGTGAAGTGAAGTGCACCCCGCTGCCATCCCACCTTGTACACGTGCGTGCGGAGGGAAGGGGAGGGGACTGCAGGTGGCGTGCGAGTGAGTGAAGTGAATGCGTGGGGCCAGGCTTGCTGCGGTGCCTATGCTTGTTGCCCTGCGCACACAGGGCATGCTATTCCCCTCTCTTGCGCATGCCATTCCTCTCTTGCGCACGCCATTCCTCTCTTGCGCACGCCATTCCTCTCTTGCGCACGCCATTCCTTCTCCTTCTGCCCTCCCCGCACACACCCGCCAAACGTGCGTACTTGGCGTTTTTTCCAGGGCAGTGTGGTCAATCCCTGTGAGACCCTTGATTGTTGTTTTGATGTGACTGTTTTGAAGTCTCAGAACTATGTCACCAAGACATCAAGTCAATCATTCGTGTATTGACCAATGGCTGCCATGTGAAGACATGTCACCGGCCAAATTGGTGCTCACTTGCTCATCGAGGCAAATGCCACACGGTGTGGTGGCTTGGGGGCAAAGCACACGCAGCAACGCCATGTCCACAACTTCTTCCCCCCTGTCAACTGCGCCCTTCCCCCTCACCTCCTTCCCCTTGGCATCCCCTCCCCCAACCCTATCATCCCTTTCACCCCGCTGTAAACCCTCACTCGTGACTCCCCTTCCCCCTGCCCTGTCACCCCCCTCCCCCCCTCTTTCCCCTCCCCGTGCCCTGCCATGCCACTCCCCCCTCCCGTTCACCGCAGTCTGGAGATCCTGCACGCGCGCTGGGCCATGCTAGGAGCGCTGGGAGCGGTGGTGCCGGAGGCGCTGCAGCGCTACAGCGACGCCACCTTCTTAGAGGATGTGTGGTGGCGCGTGGGGGCCGCCAAGCTGGCGGGGGACGACCTGGACTACCTGGGCGTGGCGGGGCTGCACCTTGCCGGGGGGCAGGGCGTGGTCGTGATCGCTGCCGCACAGTTCCTGCTCATGGTGAGTGCAAGTGCTCGCCCTCGCCACAGGTAATGCTCCACCTGGGGCTGCTTTGTCCTCTCATTCCCACGGGCATCAGGGCGCTGGACCTGCTGCGCTCATTCCTACTCCGCAACACCACCTCTCCCCCGCCCTTTCCCACCTCGCCCAGCTGCTTCCACAGTACGCGTGCTACACGGGGCACTGGAGTTGCTCGGCTTATTCTTACTCCCTCGCCCAATCCCACCCAACCCCCCACTCGCTTCGCCCCCAGCTGGGTCCAGTCCAGACTAAGCGCGCTACATTGTCCCTTCCAACTCCCCCCACTCTCCCTCCCTCCACTTTCCTGTTTCCCCTCCCTCCACTTTCCTGTTTCCCCTCCCTCCACTTTCCTGTTTCCCCTCCCTCCACTTTCCTGTTTCCCTCTCTCCACTTACCTGTTTCTCCCCTCGCTCCACAGCTGGGTCCAGAGTATGCGCACTACACGGGCATGCCAGCGTTGGCCCTCCACTTCATCTATCCCTTTCTCTTCCTCGCTTCACCTCACTCCACGCGGTGTTTTCTTCCCCGTTCTCTGCTCTCTATGTGTCCCATTGTGCGCGGCGTTGTCCCCCCCAGCTGGGCGCAACACGGGTGCGGCAGAGTTGGAGCCCTGCCGCTTCATTTCCTTCTCCCCTAGCCGCTCACCCACTCGGCTCGTTTCCCTATCCCTTCCCACCGCCCCTCCCTTCCCCCTCGTCCCCCCCCTAGGCTCAGAGTACACGCGCTAGACGGGAATAGCAGCGTCGGCGCCCCTTTGCTCCATCCAACCAGCCCCTTTGCTCCATCCAACCAGCCCCTTTGCTCCATCCAACCAGCCCCTTTGCTCCATCCAACCAGCCCCTTTGCTCCATCCAACCAGCCCCTTTGCTCCATCCAACCAGCCCCTTTGCTCCATCCAACCAGCCCCTTTGCTCCATCCAACCAGCCCCTTTGCTCCATCCAACCAGCCCCTTTGCTCCATCCAACCAGCCCCTTTGCTCCATCCAACCAGCCCCTTTGCTCCATCCAACCAGCCCCTTTGCTCCATCCAACCAGCCCCTTTGCTCCATCCAACCAGCCCCTTTGCTCCATCCAACCAGCCCCTTTGCTCCATCCAACCAGCCCCTTTGCTCCATCCAACCAGCCCCTTTGCTCCATCCAACCAGCCCCTTTGCTCCATCCAACCAGCCCCTTTGCTCCATCCAACCAGCCCCTTTGCTCCATCCAACCAGCCCCTTTGCTCCATCCAACCAGCCCCTTTGCTCCATCCAACCAGCCCCTTTGCTCCATCCAACCAGCCCCTTTGCTCCATCCAACCAGCCCCGCCCAACCCCCTCCCCTCCTCTCACCTCCCCCTACCCCCCCCCCCCCCCCAGCTAGGCCCCAGAGCACGGCGCTACACGTGCATAGCGGCGTTGAAGGCGCTGTGGGTATTTCATCTCCCTCCCCCCATTCTCCCCCCTCCCCTTCCTGACCCCTCCTGTTATGCTCTTCCCCCTCCTCCCACACCAGCTAGGGCCAGAGTACGCGCGCTACACGGGCATAACTGCGTTGGAGCCGCTGGGGTGTTCCTGCCGGGCGACATCAACCACCCGGGCGGCTGGCTCTTCGACCCGCTGGGGCTGTCCAACGATGCACAGCGGTTTGAGGACTTGAAGGTGGGTGCAGGGGGTGCTGGTACGTGCATGGGTGGTGATGCGTGCATGGGTGCTGATGCGTGCATGGGTGCTGATGCGTGCATGGGTGGTGATGCGTGCATGGGTGCTGATGCGTGCATGGGTGCTGATGCGTGCATGGGTGCTGATGCGTGCATGGGTGCTGATGCGTGCATGGGTGCTCATGCGTGCATGGGTGCTGATACGTGCATGGGTGCTGATGCGTGCATGTGTGCTGATGCGTGCATGTGTGCTGATGCGTGCATGTGTGCTGATGCGTGCATGGGTGCTGATGCGTGCATGGGTGCTGATACGTGCATGGGTGCTGATGCGTGCATGTGTGCTGATGCGTGCATGGGTGCTGATGCGTGCATGGGTGCTGATGCGTGCATGGGTGCTGATGCGTGCATGGGTGCTGATGCGTGCATGGGTGCTGATGCGTGCATGGGTGCTGATGCGTGCATGGGTGCTGATGCGTGCATGGGTGCTGATGCGTGCATGGGTGCTGATGCGTGCATGGGTGCTGATGCGTGCATGGGTGCTGATGCGTGCATGGGTGCTGATGCGTGCATGGGTGCTGATGCGTGCATGGGTGGTGGGTGTTGAGGGTATGACAAGGGCGCTCGGGGTGTTCCTGCTGGGGGACATCAACCACGTGGGCGGGTGGCTCTTCGACTCCCTCGGCCTCGCCAACGATTCTCATCTCAGCGGTTTGAGGGCCTCAAGGCGTGTGCATGTGTGCTGATGCGTGCATGGGTGCTGATGCGTGCATGGTGCTGATGCGTGCATGGGTGCTGATGCGTGCATGTGTGCTGATGCGTGCATGGGTGCTGATGCGTGCATGGGTGCTGATGCGTGCATGGGTGCTGATGCGTGCATGGGTGCTGATGCGTGCATGGGTGCTGATGCGTGCATGGGTGCTCATGCGTGCATGGGTGCTGATGCGTGCATGGGTGCTGATGCGTGCATGGGTGCTGATGCGTGCATGGGTGCTGATGCGTGCATGGGTGCTGATACGTGCATGGGTGCTGATGCGTGCATGGGTGCTGATGCGTGCATGGGTGCTGATGCGTGCATGGGTGCTGATGCGTGCATGGGTGCTCATGCGTGCATGGGTGCTGATGCGTGCATGGGTGCTCATGCGTGCATGGGTGCTGATGCGTGCATGGGTGCTGATGCGTGCATGGGTGCTGATGCGTGCATGGGTGCTGATGCGTGCATGGGTGCTGATGCGTGCATGGGTGCTGATGCGTGCATGGGTGCTGATGCGTGCATGGGTGCTGATGCGTGCATGGGTGCTCATGCGTGCATGGGTGCTGATGCGTGCATGGGTGCTGATGCGTGCATGGGTGCTCATGCGTGCATGGGTGCTGATGCGTGCATGGGTGCTCATGCGTGCATGGGTGCTGATGCGTGCATGGGTGCTGATACGTGCATGGGTGCTGATGCGTGCATGGGTGCTGATGCGTGCATGGGTGCTGATGCGTGCATGGGTGCTGATGCGTGCATGGGTGCTCATGCGTGCATGGGTGCTGATGCGTGCATGGGTGCTGATGCGTGCATGGGTGCTCATGCGTGCATGGGTGCTGATGCGTGCATGGGTGCTCATGCGTGCATGGGTGCTGATGCGTGCATGGGTGCTGATGCGTGCATGGGTGCTGATGCGTGCATGGGTGGTGGGTGTTGAGGGTATGACAAGGACCTCGGTGGGATATCACTTTCTGTTGGACCCCCTTGGGCTCCAACGACGCAGAGTGGTTCGAGGACCTCGAGGAGTGGGCAGGTGTGTTGCAAGTATGCATGGGCACTGGTGGCACTGGTGGCACTGGTGGCACTGGTGGCACTGGTGGCACTGGTGGCACTGGGCTGCTGTGTCAAATGCACAGTGTACACGTCAACACATGGGGCAGCCCTGGGGGAGAGCACCAATCTGAAGAGCCACACCCGTGTATCCGCTTGCTCACTGCGTCTGCTTCTCTCCCCTCTCTTATCTCTTCCCCCTCAGGTGCGGGAGATCAAGAACGGGCGGCTGGCAATGATGGCGTGGGTGGGCTTTGCCACCCAGGCAGCGGTGACAGGGCAGGGCGTGCTGGACGACTGGGAGGCCTTCCTGGCCGACCCCCTGCGCAACAACGCCCTCACCCTCGCCCTGCACGGCCTGCACTAGCGTGTTGGACACTAGCACTCCCTCCCCGCGCACCCCATCCCAGCGGCCCCCACACATGCGGCACATATGGGCTTGCTGGGCGGCTGGGATGCCTTCTTGGAGATCCCTCACCAGCGCCTTCGCCTCCACCCTGTGCTAACGTTCTCCCTCTCCATGCTCCACACCACGCTGCACACGAGGTGCTGCCAGATGACAAGTGCTGAAGGAGTGAGTCAAACCCGCCACTTGTAAGTGTGATACACTGTAGTGTGTCATGCAATAGGTGAAACAAGCAACCCACACAAGAGACCTCCCGCGGCTGAAGCATGCATTCGAGGTGGCTTTGTGAAGTGCAACAGAGAATACCGTTTGCTCGAAATTGTGTACTTTTATAGGGAGCATATACTGCCGCATCATAGTGAAGATGTGCTCAATAATGTTTCCAGTCTTTTGTTCTGTGACACAAGCTGTACGTGTCATGGGCCAAATCTGTAATATAATACATAAGACAACTTGTCCTAACGATTCTGTGATATGTTCGAAGTGTATTTGCGTTTAACGGATCGTTAATGCTTCACATTTTCCTGGCGAAACCTCCCCTGCGTTCGTGTGTGCGGTGCAACACGGTTCCATCCCGCCACAACAGGGCGGTCGGAGGAAAAGAGCCTGCTTGGTGGGTTGGAACGAACGCCTCTCTGCTGCCGTCATGCACTCGCGCGCTGCCTTGCGCGCCTCACTGCCCTCACATGCCTCGCGCCATCGCCACCACGCGCGTCCTCCTCCACTCCCACCGTCCCTCCTCGCCTCGCTGCTCGTCCTCCCCCCGTGGAGCACCGCGTTCGCGCGCGTGAGCCGGGCCACTCTAGCCGACCACCCCCGCCCCCATTCCGCCATGTTCGCAAGCAGCATGCACGTCCTCCCCCCACATGCTCCTCCCCGCTGCTCCCGCGTGCTGCTCCCTTGTTCCTGCTGCTTCGCGTGTCTTCGTGCTGACGCGATCAGTCGCGGGAGCCTGTGGTGGGATGGAGTGAAGGTGGAGTCTAGTCAACGGCATCCCCCTTGCGGCTCCAGTGCGTGCAGGAGCAGCCCTGCTGCCACCGCCTTACAGGGACTCTACAACCTGCCGCGCGCCTCGCGCGCGCTCATTACCACAGCCTCTTTAAATGCTCGTCTTCTCCGCAGTCACCATGGAGCCCAAATGCCTTCCATTCTCGCGCCATCCATGGCCATCGCACGAACCCGATTGCTTCCCATCGTCGCCATCGCCGTCGCCCTCGTCGCAACTGTCATTGCTACCGTCGCACACCCCTCTGACGAAGCCGAGCCGTTCGACGCGCCTCTGCCGGGAAGGGCGGCGCTGGAAAAGGCGGCGGGCGCGCAGATCAGCGGAGTGCTTCCCGTTTTCGGCGGAGGAAGTTGGCTTCCGCGCCCGCGCGGTGGCGGAAAGGGCGGAAACGGTGGAAATGATGGAAACGGCGGGAAAGGCGGCGCTGGCGGGCGCATGCGGGCGACGTGGGGGGTGCCTCTGCGCCTGCGCTCCGCATGGGGGAGCGCAAAGTTCCGCGCGAAGGCGCGGGACGCGCTGGGGCGGCTGACGGGCGCGCGCGGGGTGGCGGTGACGGCGCAGGGGCGCGCGGAGAGACTGATGGCGGCGTGGGCGGGGCGGCCGGGGAGGGAGGGATGGCGCAAGGGCAAGGACGTGTGGACGCAAGTGGCGCGCGACTGCGTCTCTCAGGTGCTCCGTTATAAACTGCTGCATTATGAAATGTTACGTCATAAAGTGCCCGTTATTAGGTGGTGCATTACAGACAGCACATGAGGATGGGTGGGCACAATAAGCACGGGGCATCTCTCAACTCAACCTCCCATGTCTACCCTGCATTGCATTGCATTGCATTGCATGCCCTCCAATCCAATCCCGTGCTGCCAGCTGGCACTCGCCAAGGCCAGCATGGATGAAGCAGCGGTGATTATTAACACGGGGGAGGGTGACGTGGCAGATGCGCGCGTCAGCCTATCGAGTGCTGCCACGTTGGCAGGCGACTGTCTGGACTCGTTCCGCACCTTCGCTGCTGATGGCGCTACCAGCGAGCCCGCCAGGGCCGTGCAGGTGGGCTTTGGGGGGCCGTGCAGGTGGGCTTTGGGGGGCCGTGCAGGTGGGCGGGCAGGGTCGCACGAGGGGGGTTGTGGGGGGCTCTGATTTGCCGTGCAGGTGGGCTTTTGTTCAAATGGCACGCACATGGGGGGGGACGGGCTAGCAGGTGGGGTGCGGGTGGAACATAGCATGCATGCATTCCGTGTGCTGTGTTCACTGCAGACGCCACTCCCGTGCAGTGCAGTGCAGAGATGGGGTTGGTGCGAGGCAATGGCGGCCATGCAGTGGTGTCAGTGCACTAGGGCTGGGACTGCTCATGCCAACCCACTACGGCTGGGACTGCTCATGCCAACCCACTACGGCTGGGACTGCTCATGCCTGCTGCTGCCACACCGAGCCTTCATCACTCACTCCGCTCTGAGCACCTCTGAGAATAGCCGCCTCGTGGGTGCTGCTTATCCACTCTGGAACCCTCCCCTCCCTCTCTTCTCCTCTCCTCTCCTCCCCTCCCCTCCCCTCTCTCTTCCTCTCCTCTCCTCCCCTCCTCTCCCCTCCCCTCCCCTGTCCTCTCCTCCCTCTCCTCTCCTCTCCTCTCCTCTCCTCTCCTCTCCTCTCCTCCCCTCCCCTCTCCTCCCCTCTCCTCTCCTCTCCTCTCCTCTCCTCTCCTCTCCTCTCCTCTCCTCCCCTCTCCTCTCCTCTCCTCTCCTCCCCTCCCCTCCCCTCTCTTCTCCTCTCCTCTCCTCTCC